GAGGGATGGGGCAGTTCCACCCTGGTTGAGTCCCTCCCCAGACTGAGCCACTGGGGCCCCTACTTAGCTCCTGAATTGAGCTGTCACAGCCCACTGGCCAGTGGTCACTGTGGCCTGTGTGGGGCTCTGCTCAGCTGCAGCCTGGGGCGGCCAGCCCCCCTTACCCCTAAGAGGGCTTAGTGTGCACAATTCTGCCACTCTACCAGGGACAGGAATTCTGCATCACACTCCAAAGGAGGGTCTTTGGCCCTTGCCGAGGCCCGTCTCTAACTCAGATTCAAAGGGTGAAGCTCTTGGTGTTTGTTTTTAGCTGTCTCCCTCGCCATCTCTTTCTCCTCCTTGCTCTCTCTTTGTGCTTTTTTTTTTTTTTTTTTTTTTACTGCTAGGGCTCTCAGGTTTGGCGACCAGCGATGAACAATGGGACTTGACATTTCAGGAGTTAGCAGCATAGGATCAATCTTAAAAACATGGAAACCTCCTAATGGAATCTTAGAATGATGGGGTTTTGCAATTTTAGACTTTCCCTTGTGGGATGTTAGAATTTTTGATTTGACTCTTGCAGTTTTAGCAGGGCCCCAGAATGTCCATGGTCCTGGCTCTGACCTCCTCTAAGATGTTGCTGACCTCTCCCCTCCCCCTCTACCCTGTCAACCCTTAGAAGCCCTCTCCTCCAACAGGGGCTGTTAGACTCTGAGTAGAGACAGGGGCCTTTGCTCCCTCTCCCTGGGTAGCAGGGTTTGGTGGTGGTAGTGGTGGGGGCATCTGTAGCTCCAGGTCCAGCTGAAGCCCCACCCTGCTTTTGCCTGGCCCACCTGCACAGGTGTTGAGTAAGCAGGCCTGGACCAGAATCTTGGGGTATGTGGGGGTCTCTACAGGGTGGCCTTGGGTGGGTTGCTGGGCCCCTGTGGAGTATTAAGTTCCTGTCTCTTTTTGCTGTATCAGCTTTCCTGAGGTAGACTTCATGCTGCAAAGCTAAACTCAGACAGACTGTGGGTCTGGGGGTCTTTCTGATTTTCCTGAAAGCTTAGCTCAGTCTGAACACATTCCTGAGGGTCAGCTCTACCCCCCACTTTATGGGTCCTAATCTGTGTCTGAGTTTGGGCATCTTATCTGACTCTGTCTTGCTTTTCTTAATCCCTGTCTATGGCAGACCTCTCTACAGACATAGGGACAGTTTGTCAGGGAGAGGGATCGGGGGCAGGGGAAGGTGAAGTGAGGATTTCAGTGTCTGGAGGAATCTTCTGGAGGAGTCTGTCAAAATGGAATCTGTTGGGCTCAACTTCAGGGATTCTGATATAGGGGACCAGGGGGAAGCCTGGGAATCTGCAAGTTAAATAGCCCAGGAGATTCTGATACAGGTGTGTGATGGCAATAATTTTGAGAAATCCGAAGAGGTGGGAAGGAGGGGGGACTGAAGGCCAAGGGTCTGATTGACATCCTCTGGGGATTGCCTCTGGGACTCTGTTTCCTTACTTGCAAAGAGGGGAGGACAGTACTCTGGGCCCCAGCATATGGTAAGTGATCAGCTGTTCCTGCAATCCCCATGGCTTCAGCTTCCTGAGACTAGCTTTCGATGGGGTATGCCCTGAGCCCACTCTCTTCCGGTGTTATATGACAAAGGCCAAGTCCTTTCCTGTAATCAACACTCTGACCTTGGTTTCCCTGAAGGGGAAACTGGCCAGCTTTGAGGTCATCCTCCATGCTGTTTTATGGCTGGAGCCGTTTTGCGGGAGGCTGGGTCCAGGTCAGCTGGTGGCATGTGCACACACACGGGTAGCATCGCACAGCGTGGTGGGGCTCCCTAAACTTCCCTCTGGGTTTCCCCAGGATAACACGACCAAAAAGGACAGGACCCCAGACCCCTTCCAACATGTCTGGGTGATCTGTCCAGGGCCAGGTGACCAGGGCAGAGATGGGCTTCCCGAGCAGCCCACCTACACAACTCCCAGGCTCAGCTCCATCCGTTCCTGGCACTCTCTCCATCTCACCCGTCACCTCTCGGAGTGGACTGGAGGAAATGGGTGGACATCAGCTGAATTAAGAATCAGGTAGCACAAAATCCAACCCTGCTGTTCCAAGCAGCTGAAGTGACTCTTTGGATTATCCGCGTCAGTGAGGATGGAAAAGAAACCAGCGGGGCCTGGATTCTCCCAGAATAAATGAGGGCTGCTCTTCCTCCCCCGGGGAGAGGGCTGTCTGGGGGAGGCACCCTGCCCCATCTGGTGGCTGAACTGACTCCCCTGCCTAGAAGCCGACGCTCACTCTGCCACTCTTCTGCTCCAGAACTTGCTGTGGCTGACTGTACGTCACATCCAAACTGCCTCCACCTCCCCTTAGAGCAACCCTCACCTCCCACCATTCCTCTGGCCCATCCAGACCCGACACCTCACTATGCTGGACCATTCCAGCTGCTGTATCTTGGAGTGACCTTTCTCTCGACTTTTGTCATTTTCAAGAAAGCCTCCTCCAGGAAGCCCTCCCTGACAGCCCAGCCCATGTGAGCTTTCCCTTTTCTTATCCATCAGTGTCAGACACCAAGTGCCTCCTGTCATCTAGTTGAGCGTGGTACAGCTTATTAGAAGCAGATAAACCGAGGCTCACGGTCCTTCTCTGCCCTTTCCTGACTGTCCTGACTGCGCAATTCTGAGCGAACTACTTCACCCCTCTGAACCTCAGTTTCCCCCTACAAATTGGGGAGGGGGGGACGGTCTCTCTTCACAGGACTAAGGTGTATAAAGTGTTTTGCACAGTCTGGCTCACCCAGTCCAATGCTCTCGTCTTACAGATGGGGACTGAGGCTCAGTGAGAGGAAGTGTCTCCCTAGATCCAGGTCTTGAGTTAGTGACAGGAGCAGGCTGCCACCTTGGAGTCAGGATGCATTTCCCTAGCATCACGTGGCATCCTGTGCTTTGAATGCATTTATGTGATTTTCCCTGGCAAGAGTCTTCCAGCCTTTGGTACCATCTTGGTACTACAGGGGTCCCTGAAAGAGCCAGAAGTGGCCCAGGGCCCAGCACTGGGGAAGGTCTGGGGTCTGGGTCTTTCCTGTGCTTCATCCAGGCTGAGGAAGAGCTGGCAGAAGTGGGAGCTCCCAACCATATGGAGATGAGCCCCTGATTTGGGAAAGGTGCAAGGCTAGCAACTGCCAACAAGGGGGGCAGAGAGCCCCCTAGGTGCTGGCAGGGTGGGGACCAACTAGAAGTGAAGAGGAAAGTCCAGCTGATGCCATCCAAGCAAGAGGTACTGCTGGTTAGTAAACAGCCACTGCCCCAAGTCCCTTAAGTGTCCCCCCCCCCACCCTAGCCCTTGCCCTGAGGCCTTTGGTCCAGCACTAAGGCCATCATCCATTGACTGGTCTGCCCATGTCTTCCCAGTTGATAGATATTTTAAATATCATCTCCCAGGAAGAGGCCTGCTGATCATCAACAATGGCCCATTTTGGGGGCTTCTGGAGCAGGAGGGGCAGGGGCGGATGGCTTGGCCTTGGGCAGCTCCACCCGTCACACCCTCCCAGAGCAGCTGGTCCCCATCTCCACGGTGCCCAGGCTGTGTTTACAAGGCGGCTTTCTTTCCTCAACAGCCGGAAACTACTCCAACACTGCTGGGCAGGTGGAGACTGGCACACGGGGAGGTTGAGCCAGGAAAGGATTAGTAACCAGGCAGCGGGCAGCTCAGAGCCATGTGCCTGGGTGAGCGGGTAGTGTAAATGGAAGGCGCTTGGCAGCAGGGCCTGCCACTCCCCACTGAGCAGCAAGTGAGGGGGGGGGGACGGGAACTGCCCTGGTAGCGAGAAGTCAGCGAGGCCTGCATCCCTGGGACGGTCACAGTGACGTCTGTTTGTTATCCTGAAGTGGACACCCAGAGGGTCTGGGTAGCACCTGTACTCTGTGAAGCAGGCATGTGGGGGCCACTGAGGACCTTGGGCCCTGGAGGGCGGATGGGCAGATGTTCTGGCTAGTGGACACCAGTCTAGTGGCTTAGGACAGAAGCCATCTGACGGGAAGCACTGCATGCCAGCCCCTTGTGGGGTTCCGGAGCAGTGGGGGGCGGTCTGAGGAGATGGAGTTAATCTAAAGAGCATCAGGGCAGCTCCCACCAGAAGGTGACCTTGTGTGCTGGGACAGCTGCCACCCGCGCTGGCCATCTCGAGGGCATAAAGAGACGTCCAGTGGGCCACTGCTGGCCAGTTTGTGGGAAACCTGCCAATGCTTTTCCTGTGGCTCGCCCTGCTGTCCCCCCAGGGGCCCATGCCCCTCTCTAATCTTTTCCTTCCCTTTGCATCTCTGGCTCTCAGAACAGGTGAGCGACAGACGCCAGGCTGGTCCATGCCGGCTGCTCGCTCCACCCACCGGGCCTTTAGCTGGCTGCCTGGGGCCTGAATCTTCCCCACTGGTCAGTCTCTTCAAAGAAGCTCCATGGACAAACGGAAAGGCCCTGAGGTGTGGTGTCCCTGGCTCCCCCTCCTCAGCCAGACTTGACAGCCACAGCACATCCACCTCACTGCCTCATCCTGCCACACAAAGAATCCTGATTTTAATGTGAGCAGGAGCCCGTTTGCAGAGAAAATCAGAGTCAGCCTGGGAAAAGTGACCACACCTGTGGCTCTGGCTGGGGGTCCATGGGCACTCTGGGACCTTCATGCTCCTATCATCACAGTCTATCTTGATCACAGCTCACCTGGCACCCAGAACCCCCTTCCTCTGGCCGAGGCATGCTAAGTGCAACCAGTCGACTCCCTGCTCCTGCAGTGGCTCACCCTGAGTCCCAGGGCGTCGAACGCTGAGTTCTGAGCCACTTCTAACTCACTTCTTTTGTTGCCTGTGCTTTTCACGAGCCAGAGCCAGAAAGGCACGTGGAGCTCTGTTAATCCTTCAAGTGTTTTCTCAGCCCCACGTCTTCTAGAATCCTGAGGGAGAAAGGGTTGCTGGGAAGAGCATTATCACTTGGCACGTCCTGAGGATGCCAGGGTCCCTCTCGGAACTTACAGAGAACAGGGGTCGTTTTATAACTAAAGTGTTTATTTGCATTCAATTCACTAACCGATCGTTCCGCTCAGGTGCCTGCATTAGCTCCCAGGAGGGAGTCTGCGGCCAGACCCCTTGGCGGATGGTTTTCCCATGGCCAAGACCTTTGGACCTGGGCAAAGGTCTGGTGCAGGGAAGGAGACGGGGAGAAATCACACGCTTTCTCTCCAAGGATGGGAGTATGCCTGCCCATGTCTCCGAGGGCACCCTCTGGAACCCTCTGGAGGGCTGGGATGTCACAGTGAATGATCTGGGTCCTGCAGCCTGGTTTGGGCTCCCAGAGGCAAGAGTGGGTTTTGGCCATTTGAGGACACTCAAAGGGGCCTATTTGCCTGGGAAGTACTGGATAGACTGGGACAGAAGGAGAGTGAGGAAGTGGACAGGGACTTTCAGTTTCAGACCCCACTTCCTCCTCGATCTGTCACTTTCAAAAACAGTCCAGGGGTGGGATGCTCGTCCACCTTGGTGCCTTCCCCCACCCCACCAATTCTCACTCAAATCTCTAAATGGCCCAGATGGCCCCGAGGTGGTTGGCTTTGGTGAGGCCAGGCAGCAGGTGGGAGGGAAGGGTGTCAATGAAAACCATATAAAAATCCAGAAATGTGCATATAAAATCTCGCCCTTGGTGTATTGCCTAAGTCAGTAAGCAGAAAGCACCTTCTTCCTGGAGAAGGATCAAGTCCTCAAAAGGTAGGAAATGTCAAAGTGTCACTTCATTGTCATTAAAAAAAAAAAACAAACCAACAAACAAACCCCCCAAACCAAAACCACCCCAGACCAAAATACCCCCAAGTCCACGAATCGCTGTAAACAAACCCAGATGCAGGATCAACCCTTCTCAGTGGCAGTCGTAGCTGATGGCGGTCTCTGCAGCATCAGTCCTTGAGGTGGGGGCCAGCGGCCAGTGGGAGTGGGTGCCCAGGCAGGTCGGGGCCGCTGGGCTGTGCGCGTTATGTACGTGGAGCTGCAGACCTGGGGGGCGGCCATCCTCAGGAAGGCTGGCCTTTCTGGTATCCTGTGTTCTCCCTGACCTGGGAGGACAAACGCCCCTTTTCATGAGAAAACAGGAGAAACAGTCTCTTTCATTAGAGTTTCTAAAATAGTCTCCAAAGACAGAAAAATTCTGTTTGCTCAGTGGCAGCGGGAATGGAGTTTCCCAGTGTGGATCCCGGGTGTCTGCCTGTCCACCTGCCCCATCCGCCTGGCACTTGTCTGTTGAGTGAGGCCTCGAGGAGCAGCCCAGGAACAGGAGAGAAGGGCGACCCCTGCCTCTTCCCTTCACATTTGTTTTCCTGAAAGTGTTTTTTGGCTCTTGCCAGGTCACCTTCTTGCAGGGAGTTGGAGAGAAACTGCTTTTGGTCTCCGATTGGACAAATCGCATGGATCTCCCAAGCCCTTTTATTTTTCTTCCCGAGAACAGTCATCGCTTTCCTTATGAGAATCCTCTTTAAAAAATATTTCTTGTATTTCCCGCCCCCTCCCAGGATCTATTTTCTTTTTTCCCCATTCCCTTTTTTTCCCATCGTTTGAGTTGCGTGTGTTCTTGGTGACGTCCCGTGGCTGGAGCGCTGCTTGATTCTTCCTGTTGCCCGTGGCCTCCTGGCAGGTGGCTGGCCCTGCCGTGGATCGAGCACCAGGGGCCCGGTGTGCGGGGCGGAGGGGGAGGGGCCTGGAAGAGGAGGTGAGCCGAGGCGGGTGAATGTCAAACCTCCACAGACTGAATCTGGTTCATCTGTGCCCGCATCACCTGGATACTGTTCAGGATTTTTTTCTGGTGGCCAGCCAAGGTGACCCCAACCCGGAGAATATCCCTTTGGGAGAGAAGCACATGTGTTAGGGAGAAGTGGGGGTACAGGGGGCTTTGTGCCTGGTAGAGAGCTGCCTGGGCTTCCCCAGGGGTTTTGTGCTCAAGATAGCAAGGGAGGGGGGTAATGGGATGGGGTAGTGGGTCGGCCTCCAAAGCTGGAATGAGTGAGTGACCTCAGTGAGCACTGACCGGGGTCAGGGCACCCAGGTGCCCTTCTCTCCTCTGCTACAGGGAAGGGGAAGGGACTTGCATTAACTAAGTACACACTTCCTATGTACCTCCTGCAACCTTCCTACCAACCCCCAGTTTACAGATGAGAAAACGGAGGCTGAAAGAGGTGCTGTGATTTGCCCAAGGTCTTACAGCCAGTAGGTGGCAGGGAGACCTGGGTATCAATCCGGATGTGACTCCAAAGCTGGCATGTCACCCCTTGGTCCCCCACGTCCCTGCTAGGACACTTGTCCCTTCCTTGTGCTCCAGAGCACCCCCTTGGCTGGCTGGGTGGGTGGGGAGGGGGTGCTGACAGTGGGGAGTGGAGGCGCTGGGCACTTACTCCATCAGCATCTGAGACACGACGTCGAAGGAGGTGAAGCCAGCATTGGCGAAGCTCTCCTTGTACTGCCCCATCTTGATGGCCTCCAGCCACTCGTCCACTGTGTTAAAGCTGGTGTAGTCAGGGATGGTGCGGTCCAGCAGCGGCAGGTTGATTCTAGGGGTGGAGGTGGGTGACAGACATGGTCAGGGCACACGCTTGCAGGGAGTGTGAGGGGATGTGCATGAACACGCCTGGGGGCTGCGTGTGTGCACGTGTGCGGGTGAGCACTGCTGTGTGAGCGCGGGCGGGTGCGTGAGCCTGTGTGAACATGCACCCATATCTGTGTGAGGAGGTGAGAGCCAGTGTGTGTGTAGGACTCAAAGCTGGGGTGACCTGGAACGTCCTGGGAGCCTCTGTGGGGATGGCTGAGAGGCTGCACCACAGGAGTAAGGTGGGGAAGACACTTCTCCAGCTTATTTTCAGAGGAGGGATTTCAGCTGGACTAATCCTGCTGATTAGTCAGTTTCTTCCCCAGTGCCATTCTCCACGCTTCTCTACCCTGGTTTGTGCTGTAGGAGGCTGATCTTGTAGACAGCAGCCCCAAGGTCCAGGTAAAGCCGGTGGTGCTAACGGGAATGACTTCCTGGCTGACAAGGAGTAAAATGACTCTCATGAGGTTAAAAGCTCAGAGTGATCTTATCTGGAGAGTCAGGAGTGGCTGACACAGGGTCATGGTGAGGAGTGAAACATACAAGTGCAAAGATCTCTTAGCCATAAGAACTTGGTGGATGAAAGACTTGGGCCCAAGGAGTCTCTGGCCACAGTCAGCCCTGGATCCTGTGGACACCTGGCTGGATGTCCCTCAGAAACCCTGTGGGATTGTGGGCCTCAAGGAAGAGTGTGCAGGGCCAGCATGTGACAGCCACCCAAGCTGACCCTCCTCTGGCTCAGCCAGTCTCCTGAGGGGGATGCTGACCTGAGCAAGGGGGCAAGTATATGTGTGGCGAGTACCAATATCTGAATGGGGGTGTGTGCAGGTGCCTGTGGATGTTTGCAGGTGTGAGAGCCTGCCACTGCAGGTGTCTGTGTGTGTGAGATGGCGTGTGGTGTGAGCAAGCTTGAGTGTGTTCATCTGTGTGTCGAGCTGTACCTGTGTGAGCACATGTGGACGTGTGTGGGGCCTCAGTGTCATGAAGATGCAAATGGAAGTTAGAGGGTCCAGGTTTGAGTGTGAGGGTATCTAGGGAGGAAACTCAGTGATGAGTAAATCTGTTCACTGACTAAGATTCTGGATCCTTTGGTAATTTTTCTTAACTGGTCCTCTCTGACCATACTTTAAAAAGTTGTTTCCTCTGTTGCCCACAGAGTGCATGTCTCAGCCTGTGTTCAGGGCAGATGAGCAACAAACACTAGTCCTATTCTTCCCCATGCCAAGCTGCAGTGGAGAGCATCTGTCTGAAGCAGGGGACAGCTGTGGGTGGTCGCAGAGCCCTGGGAGAGGGGAGTGGCCAGGGGAGGGGCGGGGTCTAGAGGAGAGGGGCGGGCCAGGGCGGGCCGTACCCGGAGGAGAGGGGCGCCATGGCTTTGAGGCTGTTGGGGTTGCGGATCATTTTGTCCAGCGTGTTGACGATCTGGCCGAACTTGGGCCGGTGGTTGCGGTCCTTCTGCCAGCAGTCCAGCATGAGCTGGTGCAGGGCGCTCGGGCAGTCCATGGGCGGTGGCAGCCGATAGTCCTGCTCGATGGCGTTGATTACCTGGGGAGAACATAGGGGTGCAGTGGGGTTGGGTTATCGCATGAGGGTGTCTGCCCTCTGCCAGGCCCATCTTGCCCCCAGCGCGTTGCAGGCCTGACCTATTTGATTGTCTGGAGGCAGTCTCAGGGATGGGCCTGACCTGGGTTCGATAGCCTTCATCTGACCTGGCAACTGGGTTCCTGCCCTACCTTCCACCAATCTTGGGTAATCTAGCACCCTGAGATAGCCTCTCCCCAGGGTCCACCAGGCTGAACCTCCTGTACCCGACTCTACCATCTCCTCCTTTCCCGTCTGTGAGCACCCTCCTGGCTTCAGTGGCCCCGAGGACTCCACTCTCTAGCCCCTGCTTGACCCCAGGGTGACCCATTCTTGATATCAATGCCATTTATAGCTCCAGGTAAGCGATACCACCCCTGCCAGGCCCCACAGCACACAGCATAACCCTAAGCCTGACTGATGCCCCCTCCCCACTAACCCCACCCACTCCTCCATCAAGGAAAGGAGCTAAAGCACCCTCGTTCCAGTCTGTCCTGCCACCATGGCCAGACTCATCTCCCACAGCTCAACTGTGGGTCCCCCTCCCTGTTCAAGAAGCTTCTTCAAGTCTTCTTGCCTGTATTTTTGCAAATGAAAATCCCTTGGGTGGACTGTCAAACACTTCATGACTGAACCTCACCAACATTTCTGACTAACTTTCCTCTCCACGGCACCCACCTCGGCCTTTGCACGGGTTCTTCGGAAGGCCTCGCGTCTCCTACTGTTCGAGCCCCACCTGTCCTGCGAAGACTTCCTGGCTGACCTTGCCCATACTGCCCTCGCCTCAGTGCCTACAGGGCTGGACATCTGCCTTCTCCAATTTAGCAGCTGATCGCAAAAGTTCCTGATAACTACATCTGGTTCCCTGAATAATCGTCTTGTCCACCCAGTTAGATGGTAAACACCTGGCAGGCAGACATGGTCTCATTCGGTGCTGGCCACAAGGTGCACGCATCCTGAAGATTTACTGATTTGTGGATGGGTGGCCTTCCCTACTCCCTATCCCCTGGAGAGTCCAGGGTCCTGTGCAGACATTTGAAACAGCCAACTTTGGGCTGGGAGCTGCCCTGGCAGCCAGGCCCATGATCTCGGTGGCCTATCTCCCATGCCCCAGGAGACTGGCATAAGGCCAGGAGTCCCCGATCTTCCCCTCCCCCACCTGGCTGGCCAGAGAGGCTCGGCCCATTCCCTTGGAGACTTACGTCCTGGTTGGTCATGTCCCAGTAGGGTCGCTCCCCATAGGACATCACCTCCCACATGACGATACCATAGCTCCACACGTCGCTGGCTGAGGTAAACTTCCTGTACTGGATGGCTTCTGGGGCCGTCCAACGTATTGGGATCTTTCCACCCTGGGGGACAGAACGAGGAAGGTTGGTAGGTGGGAGACTGACCTGTCTGGCCCCTCCTCTCAACACTCCCCACCCCATGTCCTGTGCTGCACCAATCTCATGAAGCATCTCATGGTTCTCCCAAATCACCATGATGCCTCAGACCACCGGGCTTTTGCACATGAAGTGTCTTTTCCCGTTCTGCCATCTGGAAACCTTCTCATCCTCAAGTCCCTCTGAAAGCCTTTCCCTAGCTCCCGAAGAGTTGTCCACTCTCCTCAGTCCCACAACGGTGCCTTATACCTGCCATCGGGAAGGACTTCACACAGTACAGTACTCAAAGTACTGGCTCCTCTTGTACTCGTCTCTGAGCTCTTTGAGGCCAGGGCTGGTGTCTTATATCTTTTGCTTTAAAACCCTCCAAAACCCTAAGTGCTTTCAGGGAGAGGGCCCTGCACTTAGGCGTTCAAGGACCTCTAAGATCTGGCCCTACCTACCTCTCCAGCATTATTGCTCTCCGCCTTTCTCCCTTACAGCCTGGATTACAGTCAAATGACCTTGCCATGAGAATGTGGCATCTGACTAACTTCCACTGGCCCTCAGCTCTCAGCTCAGACGTCACCCCCTCTAGCCAGCCCTCCTCTGCCTCCCAGGGCTGGGTCCTGGTTCATAGCTCCGTCACTCATATTGCTCTGCACGTCTGCGTCTCCCACCAGCCTGGGGAGCTCCAAGAGGGCAGAAACCATGGTCTACGCATCTCCACATCTCCAGGGCCCAGCACAGCACTTGGCATGAACAGGCGTCGGTGAAAGCGTATTGCGGGCAGAGGTATTTATGCCCTCTTCTCTGGCACCATCACTCTGGTGTTCCCTGCCTCCATCTTACCAGGGCACTGGTGTAGGTGGGGTCTGAGGTATCGTCTTCTAGAAAGCGTGAGAGCCCGAAGTCAGACACCTTACAGACCAAGTTGCTGTTGACGAGGATGTTGCGGGCAGCTAGGTCACGGTGCACGTAGTTCATGTCTGCCAGGTACTTCATGCCAGCTGCAATGCCCCGTAGCATGCCCACCAGCTGGATGACTGTGAACTGCCCATCGTTTTGCTTTGAGAGAAGTGGAGAAAATACAGAGTAAACAGAAGAGCAGGCATCAGAGCTCTGGGTCATCCTCACAATGGGGAACCAGAACAGGACTCTGCCACCTTGGCCCTGGGGTCTCTTTGGGAAGGACTCAGATGCCTGGGGACCTTAGAGAGGCCCACGAGAGACCAACTTCAGGGTGGTGGAGAGATTAGGGGCTGTGGAGCAGACACACCTGGTTTGACTCTGGCTCTGCCCTTTCCTGGCTGTGCAACCTTGGATATGTGACCTAACCTCTCTGAGTCTCAGTTTCCTCATCTGCATGTTAAATGAGCAGAAGTAAGACCCACCTCCTAGGGCTGTTCTGAGTTAAATAAGAAGGTGCATGGAAGGTGCCTGGCACATAGTAGGCACTTCATAGGTATTTGTTGAATGGGAACCAGTCCAATGGCATGCTTCTGATGCCCAGTCCAGTGCTCTTTGTCTAGCTGGCTGTGATCTCCTGGGGGGCCTTGAAACTCTCCTCTGTTGGCCTTGTGCTCTCACCTTGACCCTCTGGGTGACCCTGGCCAAACTCTACTTCTCTTTGAGCCCATTTTCTTCTGTGCGTGGTGAGTAGGCTGGCTAAGAGCATGAATGGAAGCAGATTTCAGGTTGTGTGCCAACTCTGATCGACTGTGGCTTCCTGGGGAACCACAATGAGGATTTGGAAATTGCTTCTGGGTTTAGTGGGAGAGAGTGCTGGGGTTGATTAGCAATGCCTGCCACGGGTAAGGGAACCAAAAGTGGCAGCCTGCAAGCCATTCCTGACCTAGAGCTTTTCCAAGACCCCTTCAGTCCCTGACAGTATGAAGCTATGTCCATCATCCCTTTTCCTGCTTCACTCATGGGCCCCTGGCACTCTCGACCTCCCCTACCCGGAGGAAGGAGTCCAGTGAGCCGTTCTCCATGAACTCAGTGATGATCATCACGGGCGTGCTCTTGGTGACAACACCCTCCAGGTGGATGACGTTGGGGTGGTCGAACTGGCCCATGATGGAGGCCTCACTCAAGAAGTCCCGGCGCTGCTTCTCAGTATAGCCCGACTTGAGTGTCTTGATGGCCACAAAGATCTCTCTCTTGCCTGGCAGCTTCAGGTGGCCACTGCAGACCTCGCCAAACTCCCCTGGGACAGACACACCAAGAGAGGCCGGCTGTCACTCCTCAGGTGGAAATGCCAGCTCCTTGTTCCCTGCCACCTCCCTCCTGGGGCCTGTGGGTTCTCTTTCTCCTCAGTGGTCAACTCATCCTCTCAGACGTAGAACCCCTTTGAGAATGTGGGGACCTAGAAAAGTCCCAGCCACCTTTGGGAGCAGAGAGTAAATTCTCCATGGTTGTCCCTGGTATTTGGCTGTGCATTGGGCTGAGGATGTAGGGGAACCTGGGGAGATGGGGAAAGGGGCCTGGGACAAATGGCGGGAAGAACAGAGCACTGGACTAAGAGTCTGGAGGACTGGGTTCCAGACCCAGTTCAATCTCTGACTTGCTGTGTAAGCTCCTTCCCAGCCGTGTGCCTCAGTTTCCCCTTCTGTCAGTGAGGTGGTTTTACTGGATGACCTTTGAGGGCCCTTCTACCTTGAGCATTCTGAGCCTTCAGGCCTTGGAGGGTACTTCGAGGCACTTGTTCCACATCCTACCCTCTGCCCCAGGAGTACGCACTGGGGTGGCCTCCCACCCATGTCTGAGGCCATGGTACCTGTGAGGGTACCAGCCACCTACCTGCTCCGATCACCTGCTCAATTTTGACACAGGAGATGTCAATTTCTTTGGCAAACTCCCGCACTGCCTCATTGGGGTCCTCATAGGTGAAAGGGTCGATGTAGATCTTCATGCCTGGGGTCACTGGGGGACAAGACCAGGCTCGGTCACATAGACTGACTCAAGATGTGCACAAATAGAAAAGTGGGAGCCAGTCCCTCCATGGAGGGACAGGCACTCCCACATGGCCCCCCATAAGAAATGGGCAACTCCCTGGAGGTCACTTGACCTCTCTGGGCCTCATTAAGCAGAAAGACACTGGGTAGAAGGGTGAGGGGAACAGAGAGACCAGCAAGAGTGACAAAGAGGTTCTAGCTCTTGTTCCAACTCTAATCGATAGTAATGGCTTTCTGGAGCAGCTAAAACACTGTCAGGATTGATTAGTAATGTCTGTTATGGGTGTGGGCATAGAAGGATAAAAGGATAGATAGGTTTGCTGCCCTTGTGACAGAGAAATCAAGGGATGCAAGGTAGAGGAAGCAGAAGTCAAAAAGGAAGAGAGGAAATTGGAACTAAAACACACAAAGAGCGGGCAATAGACCATGTTGTCCTTGGGCTCCTGCTAAGGAGACATCTCTGTCTCTCAAGGCCTCATTCAAGCCTCCTGTCCCCTCAGGAGCCCTTTCTAGCTGCTCAGCCCTCCCAGGCAGGCCTCAGAGCCTGGCGGGGCCACCCCACCCACCACGGTCTGAGTACCCACAGCTGCTGGGCCCACCTCCTGAGTCCCCGCTCGCCAAGTCTTAAACCTTTCTAGATCCCTGATTTCCTGGTGATCAGTGAGAGGCTGGACATGGGGCAGAGTGATTCCTCATCTGATGCAAATTTTTATTTTTTGATGCAGAAAGAGAAGGTGGTAACTCGGATGTTAAAGACCTAATTCTGACCCAGCACTGAGTCAGCAAAATGCTTTGAAGGAAGAGAAAGATAATCCATTCCACATTCTCTCCCAGATAACTGGTCTTCCATCCCCAGACCTTCCGGCCCTCTCCCAGCCCAGGCTTCCTCTTCCTGCCTACATTCTCCTACCACTCAGGGAGCTGTGACTTTGGAGGCAACAGCTCTAGGAGTTGGGAGCTGGAGTCCCTGGGTCACTGCAAGGCTGGGCTGGTTGGTGAGTGGGGCTGTCAACACTGCTCAGGGGCGTGACCTTGGACATATTAGTTGACCACTCTCAGCCACTATTTCGGATATTCTAGGAATCTAGGAGTTGGAGCCTCCACATAGGGGCTGGCAAACTGGCTTACTGCCTGTTTTTTTTTTTTTGTCTTTTGTCTTTTTCCGTGTCCGGCAACGGATCGCAACCCTCAGTGTTGCCCCCATACCGGACCGGGGACCAGCAACGGGATTGCAACCCTCGGTGTCGCTCCCGCGCCTCGCTCAGCCAGTGAGCGGGAACCGGTCTGTATGTGGGATCCGAACTCTCGGGCGGGAGTGCCGCCGCGCTTCCCAAGCGGCGCACTATCCAGTGCGCCACCAGGCCGGCCCCTTTTTTTTTTTTTTTTTTAAAAGGTGACCGGTAAGGGGATCTTAACCCTTGACTTGGTGTTGTCAGCACCACACTCACCCAGTGAGCAAACCGGCCATCCCTATATGGGATCCGAACCCGGGGCCTTGGTGTTATCAGCACCGCACTCTACCGAGTGAGCCACGGGCTGGCCCCGTTACTGCCTGTTTTGTAAATAAAGTTTTATTGGAACACAGCCATGTTCATTTCTTTGTCTGTGGCTGCTTTTACACCACAATGGCAGAGTTGAGAAGTTACAGCAGAGACCCACTAAGCCTAAAATATTTACTATCTGGCCCCTTACAGAAAAGTTTGCCAACGGCTGCTCTAACACATTAGCTTTATTTGGGATTATTTGTGTGGGTGTTTGTCTAGCCTTTTAGGTCAGAAGTTCTTAATTTGGGTCTGTGAGCCACTTGGCAAGTCCCAGGATGAGATTTGGGAGGTGTGGTAGACTCCTGAAATGGAATGCATTTATTATTATCTCCTTTTTGGACTCAAAAAGTAATTTATGGGGCCGGCCCGGTGGCGCACTGCTATAGTGCGCCGCTTGGGAAGCGCGGTGGCGTTCCCGCCGAGGGTTCGGATCTCGCATACAGACCAGCCGCTCACTGGCTGAGCGAGGGGCGGGGGCAACACCGAGGGTTGCGATCCCGTGGCCGGTCACGAAAAAAGACAAAAAGAAAAAAAAAAAAGTAATTTATGATCCTTATAAAATTCAAAAATTATGAAAATAAATATTATTGAAAATAAAAGTTCTCAAAAACCCATCCCTGAGTACAGACCTCTGGACTTTTTTAATCTTATAATTTTATACACATACACACATAGACATATTTGTGTTTTTCTGGTCACAGGATCCAAAGCTTCCTTTTTTTTAAAAATTAAAATTAAAAAAAAATTTTTTAGTGGCTGGCTGATACGAGGATCTGAATCCTTGACCTTGGTGTCATAACACCACACTCTATCCAAATGAACTAACCAGCCTTCCCTAGGATCCAAAACTTTCAGCAGAGTCTCACAGGAGTCTGAGACCCCCAAAGAGGTTAAGAAGCACCATCCAAGACTCTGAGTGCCTGGGAGGAGGGGGGATGGTGCACGATCTTTTCTTGTTTCTCTTTCCCCTGGCACACTGCATAAAGCTCTGCACACAATAGACACCCAATGTCTGTAGAGTTGAGCAGGATCCAGATGACAGATAGAATAACAATAACAGCAGCTGTCATTTCCTGAGCCCTTTGTCTGTGCCCGACACTGTGCCAGGCTCTTCATATGCATTATCTCATCTCTTTCTCCCAACAACTCTTGGAGGAAGGGATAATCATCCCCATTTCACACATCAGAAAATCGGGGCTCAGAGAGGCTAAGTAATCTGGCCAAGGCCACACAGCTAACAAATGGCACAGCCAGGATTTGAGGCCAGGTCTGTTGGACTTGAGCCCAGGGCCAGTACTCTCAATCACTGTGTTCACTGCCTGGATGAAATTCGATCAAGATCTGGTCCATGTCTCCTCCTCCTGGAGGATTCAACCATGACTCCCTCCCTCCCCGTCAGCCTCCTCAGAACCAGGGGATCAGCTCCCTGGAGATGCTTGCTTTCTTGCTCAGATGCATTCAGTGCATGGCCTGCGGTTCTTGGTGACTGGCCTTCAACCTCCCTCCCAGCAGAACTGGGGGAAGCCCTTTCTGATGGTCCAGCTGGGGAGGGAGAACAGAAACGTGTCGACTAAAGGGAAGCACAGCAGGAGCTCAAAGCCTACTTGTTCACCTCCACTGCCAACCAATTAAAAGCCATCACAAGCCTTGGCAGGAGCATTGACCATGAGGGTTCTCTATTGCTCACAGGACAAAGGCAAGTGCCTCTGCCTGGCACTCCAAGCCCTCCATGACCAGTCCCCTTTACAGCTCCCTGCTCCCTGCCTGCCAGCTATAAGAGTTATTTGCTCAGGGGTTCCAGACACACTTCATAATTTCTTCCCTCTGTGCTTTTGTTCATGCTGTTCTCTCTACCCGGAACACCCTCTCCTCTTCCTCTGTGACCAGATCAAATGCCACCTCCTCTGTGAAGCCTGCCTGGATTCCTCCAGTGCAGACCTGTGCCCTCCCCTCAGGCTCCCTCAGTCCTTCTCCACACCCACTCCTGCAGCCCTGATGTCTCTGTGGCTTTTCCTCCTCATACCAGGGCTCTCAGGTACAAATGCCTACAGCCTATTGATACTCCTTTCTGGAATACTCGAGTTTGCCTTACCCTCTCCCCTGGAGGACAGAGGCCATGTCTGTCTTGTTCCTGCTAAATCCCAGCACCTGGCACACAGTGGGTGCTCAATAAATGCTTATTGAATGAGTAGTAGCATCACTCATTTACATGCCTTCTTTCTCTCCACCTGTTTGGGGTCATGAATGCCTTTGAACATTTGATGAAGGCTGTGAATCTGCTCCTTAGAAAAGTATTGCCACGTGTGTGCACACTCCTACATCCCACATATGATTTGGGGGTGTTCACAGGCCCCTGGAAGCTCTAGGGGTCTGTGAACCCCAAGTTTTAAGCTCTTGCTCTAGAATATTGGCTCTGAAGTACACATGTGAAAGTGGTGTATAGTAGATGCTTAATAAACACTGACTGTATGCTCAGCATGAATTTACCAGGTACGAGGCCTTATTCCAGGCACTTTACTGTTTTCTACCCAATTAATTCTCCTAACAACCCTACCAGGTAAATGCTATTACTAGGCAAAAATTTGTGAAATTGTCAATATTTAACTGTTTCTGACCTACAAAAATAACAATTTCATTTGGCTCAACCTAATATTTTCCCCATTTTTCAAATGAGGCGACTGTAGCATAGAAAGGTTAAATGACCTGCCCAAGGGCACATGGACATAGCCAATAAATGGCAGAAGTGGGGTTTGAAGCCAGCCTGGCTGTAGAGTCCACACCACAACCCTCAGGCTCCTGGGTGCTTCCCTATCTGTCTCCTGAAATAGAATGTGAGCTCCCCCCACCTAGAGACTCACACAAGGCCTGGCCCCAAAAAGGGGTGTTTGCTGGTCTGTGTTGGACAAGGACCTCTGTGGGCAGAGGCTACGGAACATGCTGGGCTGTTGTTTGGAGGATTTATGGCTCTCAGGTCCACCCACTCATCCTGAACCCAAATGGTTAATTCAAGATGAGGGAAGAGGAACCAGGCATGCAGAGTCCTGGGTTTGAATTCTGGTTCTGCCATTAATAAGGGTCACATATAAGCTGGTTTATGAGTTTGAATCCAGGACGAACCACTGTGTTGATCCAGCTGTGTGCCCTTGGGTGAGTTAATTAACCTCTGTGCCTCACTTTTCCATCTACAAAATGGGCATCATAAACAGTACCTACCTCATAAGGGGAGTGCAAGGATTAAATTAGAGGATCTTTTTTTTTTTTTTTTCCTTTTTGTCTTTTTTTTTTACTGACCGGTACAGGATCGCAACCCTCGGTGTTGCGCCCGCGCCACGCTCAGCCAGTGAGCGGGAACCGGTCACCACATGGGATCCAAACCCTCGGCGGGAGCGCTGCCGCGCTCCCAAGTGGCGCACTCTCCAGTGTGCCACCGGGCCGGCCCAAATTAGAGGATCTTTTAAAAGGGTTTAGTACGGTAGCTGGCAAATAAAAAGCACTAAATAACTCACCTGTCATAAAGAGATGGCTATTTTTAAATAGGGGAGTGCAAGGATTAAATTAGAGGATCTTTTTTTTTTTTTTTTCCTTTTTTTTTTTTTTTTTTCCTGACCGGTACAGGATCGCACCCCTCGGTGTTGCGCCCGCGCCACGCTCAGCCAGTGAGCGGGAACCGGTCACCACATGGGATCCAAACCCTCGGCGGGAGCGCTGCCGCGCTCCCAAGTGGCGCACTCTCCAGTGTGCCACCGGGCCGGCCCAAATTAGAGGATCTTTTAAAAGGGTTTAGTACGGTAGCTGGCAAATAAAAAGCACTAAATAACTTACCTGTCATAAAGAGATGGCTATTTTTAAATATTACTATTACAAAGCACTTTTTAACATCCATTAATTCATTTAATTCTCAGAACCCTGTGACAGAAGTATCATTCCTCCTACTTCCCATATAAAGATAACGAGGCTCAGAGGGGTTTGGTGACTTTCCCACAGTCACCCAGCTGGCCAGTGGCAGAGCAGGGATGAGAAACCAGGTCAGTCCCTCTGGCTCCACATCCAGGCACTATGGACCTTGGTACTCACTCAGTACCTGCTAAATGATGGAGAACATGAGATCGTGAGGGTGACCATGAGCCAGTCACACACATCTGAGCCTCAGCTTCCTCGTCCATCCTGGCCACACAGGGCTGCTGGGTGGATATGGGATCACAGGGCTGGTGACACTTTGAAAAGAACAAAGTCCTGCTCAGATCTAATATTATATCTCAGGACACAGGGAGTAGGAAGTTAGACTTTAAAAAGTGTTGATCTATGAACAAATCCTAGGGTCTATTTTAAAAATCAGTCTCACTTGTTTCCTTGTTACGGATACATGCTCCAAATAATGACGCTCCAAATGGCTCCGGATGATGGTTTATTTCAGTTTAGTAGAATGTGGATAGCACAGACCACACTCTGTAGCCAGACGGCTGGGGTTCATACCCCAGCTCCTTCCCTGAGCAGCTGTGCGACCCCTGTGCCTCAGTTTCCTCATACTCAAAGTGTGAAATCATAAGGATTAAATGAATAAATACACATAAAGCATTAAAACAATTCTTGGCACGTAGAATGCACTCAACGTGTCTAGCTACATTTACGATCATGATTTTGTTACTTGGGGAACAGGAGGGGATAATGCAGTTTATAACTTCTATTTTTAATGTACAGGTGATTTTTATTTCTGTGTAGTTAAATGTGTCCATCTTTTTCTTGTGATCATCCCACCGCTTTTATGCTTAGAAAATCGTTTGCCATCTCCATGTCCATTAAATAGTTACCTAAATTATCTTCTGGAAATGCCAATGGTTTAATTATTTTTCCATGTACGGCCAAAACTATTTTTAAGCCCAGGAGCTTTATAGCTAGAACTCTTTGGCTCTGCTCTTTCCTGCATGCCCCACATCCAATCCTACAGCAACTCTAGCAGCTCTACATTCAAGACAGTCAGAATTCAACCCCGTCCCATCCCCTCCGCCTCTGCCACCCGGTCTAGCCATTGTCATATCTTCCTGGATTATTCCGACACCCACCCTCACTGGTCTCCCTACTTCAGTCCCTTTGGTCCCTCTCCATACAGCAGCCAGAGAAGTCCTGCTGAGAGGAACTCAGAGCACATCAGTCCTCTGCTCAGAACCTTCTAGTGGCTCCCCATTTCACTCAGAGCAAAAGCCAAGGCTGACAAGACTCTGCATGCTGTGGCTCCTTCATGCCATCTGCTCCCACCCTTCACTCTGTTCCAGTCACTCTGGCCTCTTTGCTGTTCCTGAAACCTGCCAGGCACGCTCCAGCCTCAGGGCCTTTGCACTAGCTGTTGTCCCTGCCTGGAATGCTCTTCTCTCAGATACCTCTGAGCAGCGCACTCCCCCAGCTCCTTTGTATCTTCGTTCAAATAAAACCCACTCTTGAGGTCGATCCCAACTCCCCTATTTAAAACGCAACTGTGACCCCACGACCCTCAACCCATCACCCTGCTCTACTTTGCCTTCTTCCACAGCACTTCCGTCTTCTAATAAACCATACGCTTTCCTCAGTTACTACACATATTTTTCTATTCCCTGTCCTTCCAACTGGAACATAAGTTCTGCAGAGGCCGGGGTATTTGGTTCGTTTACTTGGGTATCCTCACACCTGGATCGTGCCTGGCACACACGGTTGGCCCACAACAGATGTGTGGCAATTGAAGGGATACAATTATCATCCTCCTTGTCTGGAGGCAGCCATCTGAGGAACCCTGGGGTACCCCACTGGATACAGTTTGAGAACCTGTATTGGACTTCCGTTTTGCTGCGTGAGCTGAAGTAAGGACTAAGCTTTCCCCCTGAGCCCTGCCCTCCCTCCTCCCTGATTTCTGCTTCTGCCAAGATCAAATGGAGAGAAGAATCTGTGATCTACTTTTCTCTCTGGCCCTTGGGGACGGGACATCTGCTCTGGGTGTGTGTGTGGCACATGCACCCCCAGCCCTGGTCTGGCATAGGATGAGACATTGGGGGTGAAGGGGGTACTGGATGGGGGGATGCTGCCACCAGAGGAGGTACCAGGGAGGAACAGGGGGCTGGAGTCACAGAGTGAGAGCGAGAGAGGGTGGAAGGGGCTCCTGCTGCCTTTCTCACCTCCTGGGTCAGAGCCTGGCATCCTCATCATCTCATTCATTCATTCATTCAATTTCTTTATTTATTTGGCAAATATGTATCTAGTGCCTACTATGCACTGGGCACCGTCTTGGTGCAAGGGAGGCAGTGATGAATGTCAGACACAATTTTAGGTCTTCAGGGGCCCTATGTTTTAATGGTGGAGCCACAAGGAAACAACCATCACAATGCATCCTGGTAAGGTGGGGCTGTGCAAACACAGACTAGGGCCCTAAACCCAGGGTGGGGGAGGGTCAGGGAAGACTTCTCAGAGGCGCTTGTATATGATGAGGCTGGAGGGCTGAGTAAAGAGAAAGGGAGAGGGTGCCCCACGTGGAGGTAAGAGCATGGGCAAAGGCTGACAAGTGAGAGTGAGCTTGGCTCCTCCAAGGAACAGTTTGACCTTCAGTCTGGCTGTAGCATGGTAAAAGGAGGTGAAAGAAGGCTGGAGAGGTCACTGGAGAACCAACAGTAAAGGACCCAAGGGTGCCAGCTCTGCTGGGGTGTATACATACTGTGGCCACTGGTGTAGTGCTGCAGCTTGTCCGTGTACTCTGAGTCAGCACGCTCAAATCCCCGTCTTCTGGAACAAGAGCAAAGGGCTGGAGCCATCTGGAGGCGCCCGGGGAGCTGGGAGCCACAGTAGGTGCTAGGGAGAGGTGGGCAGGCCCTCAAAGCCACACCCTTGCCAGAGGGCTCCCTGCCTGTCCCTTGCCTAGCAGCCTTGCCCTCTGGCCCCACTCATCCCTTCCCATCTCTCCCACCTCAAGTCCAGGTTCACTCTTTCCTCTGTGCCCCCTCCAGCCAAGCCCCTTTCAAAGAGCAAAGTCATCTTCCAACCATGGCTTCTGGTGCCAGAAATCCCAGAGGCTTCTGTCCATCTGACCTTATGGGCCAGTCTGTCTAAAGTGGGGAACTCTTTAAGGAAGAAGAGAGTCTCTTTGCATTGTGCCCAGCGGAAGTCAGGAAATGGGCCCCACCCTCCCGCCTTTGCACCTGCTGTGCGAGCCCCTTGTGATGCCCTTTCCCCTGCCTCCTCCCGTCTAAGCCCGCCCCATCTTTCTAGCACCTCGGCCAGGGGGACTTAACTGGTGCAGAAAGTGGGGTGGTCTGTATTCCCCTTCCGCCTTCCCCTTGGCTGCTAGCATCCAGCAGTCGTCCTTTCCCACTGTTCTGCGACGTTCCTTCATGCTGAAGTATTAGTGTCTCAACGTGCCACCCCTCTGAATAATGGACTTGTTGAGGGCAATGTCTAACCCGACGGGATGCACTGCTAATGGTGGCCATTTAGGCAGCAGATGGCCACTTGAGGGGATCCAGGCCTACCCGAGTCTCTCCCTGCCTCTGGCACTTGTGGGAATGCCTCTTCTGTTCACAACGCTGTTCAGGAACGGTGGCATGGCTGGACAGAACCCATCTTGGACAGCCAGGCCTGAATCAGGCCTGGGGATACCCACCCACCTGTTACACACGATGGCGATGACAACCACGGCAATGAGGAAGACCAGGCCAGCGGCCGAGGAGCCAATGATGAGTGGCAGCTTCTCCTGGATGCTTGTCTGGTACTCAGCTGGGGAGAAAGCACAGTGCGGCATTCTCAGCCTGGCTCTGGGAGTCCTAACGCCCGCCCCCAGCCCCTGCCATCCTGCTGGGTCTCCTGGCATCCTCAGGCTCTGTTCCTGCTCCTGACAGAGCACCTGTCACATGCCCTTGTGGACAATGGGCTGTCACTCACTCAAGTAAGCTTGGATGCATGAACTGCTCCAATCTTCAATTTCTCATCCATAAAATGGGCATAATAATGCCCACCTCTCAATGTTTATATAAAAATCAATAATAGTGATGCTGACACACAGAGAGGCAGTTAGAAGCACAGACTCTGGAGCCAGACTCTCTGCGTTTGAATCCCCACAGTGCCACTTACTGTCTGTGTGAACTCTGACAAAGTGATTTAACCTCTCTGTGCCTCAGTTTCCCTATCTATAAAATGGGGAGAATAGTTTCCATCTCATGGGATTGTTGTATAAAGCACTTAGAACAACACTTGGCACATAGCAAGCATTCAATAAACATTAACTTATTGCTGAGTGTTTCATGTGTCAGTCACTGTGCTAAGCATGTTATATATTTTGCTTGAATCTCAGACAGCCCTATGATGTACTCCCTGTGATTACCCCACTTTACAGATGAGGAAACTGAGGTCATGATTTGCCTGAGATCACAAAGCAAGTGGCCAAAGCCAGCGTTCGAACCCAGGTCTGCTTGACCCAAGGCTGGGGCTTAACTGAGATAATGTATAAGATGCACTTAGAATTGGTCTGGCTCTTGGAAACCACTTGGTACATTCTCAATGCCATCAATATCATCAAGATTTTTAATTTTATTATTATTATGCCTCCCTGACCAGAACAGGAGCTTGTTGAGGTCAGCTCTGAGTTCCTAGTGCCCACACAGGCCTGGCACATGGCAGGGCCCCAGCACACATTTGCTGAATTAATAAAGAAAGGATCTTGGGACAGACCCTCATTCCCAATCAGTGACACTCATGCAACATGGAAAAGGGCTTAGAGAGGTGAAAAGGGCTGGCCATGAGGAGGGGGTTACAGAGGAGGTGAGTGCTGGTGAGATGGCAAAGCCATAGGGGAGGATTTCTGTGATAGGACAAGAAGTTAGAGGTCCTCTGAAGTGTTCAACCAGACAAAGACCAAGGCCCACGTCCAGTGGCTGGAGCAGATGCTAAGAAGGGATGCTGGAGTCCGGTCACAGGCAAAGCTGCCCTAGTGCTCCGCTGACTGGGGAAGGGCTCCCAGACTCACAGCAATGACAATTGTGACTTAACTATTATTTGGTGAGTGCTAACTATGGGTGGTATCTACGATCAACCCTGTGTTGTGTCCTTACATTAGTTTGATGATAATGATGGTGATAATAATGAGATTGCTGTTATCACCCCCATTTATGGTTGAGAAAATGGAGGGAGGTGACTTGTTCTGGGCCACAGAGTTAGGGCTGAATCCTCATTGGAATCCCCATCCATCTGGCTTCAGAGCTCACACTCTTTAAACTATGTTGCTCCTCAAAGATTATTAGAGCAGGAGTGGTGCTTCGAGGCCATGTCGTCCCAGTCTGGGAAACACACAGCATGCAGGCTGCAGCCTCCCGTTCCCTTGTCCAAGGCAGACATTACTAATCCATCCCAGCTCTTCTTTCTGCTGCCCTCAGATGTGGCTTCAGAATCCTTCTCAAACCAACTGCAAGTCATTGAGTTGTGTGTGGATAAAACATGTTTACTCTCTTAGATTAAATATGATGTTTTCATTTTATGGATGAGAAATCTGAACCAGAGAATGGAAGTGACTTGCTCAGAGTGGCTTTACAAGTTAGGACTGAGCTCCCAAGAGTCCTGGGAAAGAAAGTGGCCTGGCTAACATGATGGTTGAGGTGGAGTCCGTATCCTTTCCGGGCCACAGAAATGGGCCTCTATACGTGACTGTGCAGGTTGTACAGTGCACAAGATTGGCAATCAGGAGGGAGGGAGGGCTGACACCCAGAAGAGGATTGCCTTTTCTAATTTGCATAAAAGTGCTTTGAAGGGATGGTGGCCCTTGAGTTTGTTCCGTTTGTGGAGTCAGTGCCCCCTCCTCTTGTCCGCTGGACTCTGCTCACCTTCTGTCATGGTCTGGAAGTACATCTTGCCGCTGTAGCGCCCGTAGCCTGCCACGGTGCGTGCCCGCACCTGGAAGACATAGATGGCGCCGGCTTTGAGGCCCTGCACAGTGACCGTGTTGGTGGGGCTTTTTATGGCTGTGGCGTTGTACTCACTGAGCTCCTGCCGAGGAACAGAGAAGACCGTTAGTGACGTTGTTGCCCACAGTGCGCCCAGAGCTCACTGCCCACTCCCGCCACGTTGGGGCAGGTCTGGCCATTAGATAAGCATCTATGGCTCCCAATTCCTCACCCCCTCCCTGTAACAGAATCACAAACCCATGCCTTTTGCCATGTGACTTTGCAATACTTCTCACAAAAGCAGGCAGAGTATACGTCTCTGCCTCAGGAATATTGGATTGGAGCATGTGACTTGCTTTGGCCACTGGAATATTCTAGTGGACATGATGCAAGCAGAGGCTTTACATGTGCTTGATGGTTTGCCTTGGACTCTGGTGTTTCTGCCATCTGCCATGAGAGGCTTGCCTTAGGTAATCGCTGGCTCTAGAACGAGAAACATGTGAAGACCCTGATCCAGCTCCTAGGCTGAAACAGGGCCAGCCCAGTTGACACACAGACATAAACCCAAGAGCAAGAGAAATAGCCACTCATTGTCATAAGCCACTGGTTTTTGGGGATTGTTTGTTTTGTGGTGTTATCTCAGCAACAGCTGACTGATACACACTAATTGGATAGTGTCTGTGTGCAGACCCTGAGGACTAGACTGTGAGTTCTTGGAGATGGTATGGGAGGGCCCATCTCATTCACTTCTGCATCCCCGTCCCTGCCCTATGCCATGATGGGTTAAGTGGGAGAATCCCTGTTTAGCCTCAGCATGCTTGGGTGAGGCAAGAACTAGGGCCCAGAAAGGGAAAACAATGCTCAAGGTCACACATATCAGTTGGTGGCAGCTTTGGAACTCAAAACCAGGTTCTTTCATAGAGCCATCTCTAATGTCCAGGCCTTTAGGTATGCAGGACCTAATGTTCCCTCCATTGAGAGATGCAGAATACAGATTCTGGCCTTCTGAGCACTGCCCAGGGTGACCCGAGGAGTCTGGGACAGGGCAAAGATCCAGCTGCTGCAGTGGGGGCAACCATGTGGTTGGGGTGGGTGCAGGTGATGCTCATTGCAGCATCATCAGTCACCCAGCAAACCTTCCCCAAATACCTTCTTTGCACTAGACCCGGGCTGGGTGCTGGGGTGCCACAGGGGGCTAAGGCACAGACCCTGGTCTTGGAGAGCATAGTCCAGAAAAGCAGTGTGGGGATCTCAACCCTTTGAAGATCATGAACTTCTTTCAGAAGCTAATGGAAATCTGTGAACTCTTATTCAGAAAAGCACACTCCTAATCATACATGCTGATCACATATATGTATCACGGAACGCACAGAGCCCTTGAAAACCCTCTTGAACATTCAGTGTGAGCAATGCCATTACAGGCTTTATAGTATGGACGTTAAGATCACACACTGGAGCCAGACTTTCTGGGTTCAGATCCTGGCTCTACTAGTTACTACCTCTGTGACATTAGGCAAGTTTCTTAACTTCTCTGTGTCTTCATCTGTAAAATGGGGATAATAACAGTAGCTACCTCAAAGGTTCTTTATAGGATAAAATGGATCAATACGTATGAAATGCTCCCAGTGGTAGGGTAAGCAAAATGAGCTGAGGAGGATGTGATCTGGCCTGGGAGGGTAGGGGGGATACTGGAATGAAATTTTGAAGAACAAATAGAAGTCACCCAGGCAGGGTCGAGCCCGTGGTGCACTCGGGAGAGTGCAACGCTGGGAGCGCAGCAGCGCTCCCGCCGCGGGTTCGGATCCTATATAGGGATGACCGGTGCGCTCACAGCGCTCACTGGCTGAACACGGTGCAGCCGGTCTCAAAGAAAAAAAAGGACCAAAAAAAAAAAAAAAAACCAAAAAAAAAAAAAAAAACCAAAAAAAAAAAAAAAAACCAAAAAAAAAAAAAAAAACCAAAAAAAAAAAAAAAAACCAAAAAAAAAAAAAAAAACCAAAAAAAAAAAAAAAAACCAAAAAAAAAAAAAAAAACCAAAAAAAAAAAAAAAAAAAGTCACCCAGGCAAAGAAAGGCATTCCTGGCAGAAATAGCAGCAGGTGCAAAGGCAGGAAGGTGAGAGAGAGCTTGGGATCTTGCGAAGGGGCTGCCCTGTGAGTGTTTCTCCCCTACTCCCATACCAGGGGGAAGCAGGGACAGTTTGTGGTGGGCAGCAGCAGTCTCTTTTCCTGAGTCAGATCATCTGTCGCTTCTTCCAGGAAGCCTCCTTGACTTCCCAACCAGATGTGCCTCTCTCTCTTCCGAGCCCTGCAGCATTTGCTGTGGGTGCTATAGGATGGGGTTTCTGCTACACCCCTCCACTGTGGGACCAGGCTCATCTTGCCCCTTCACTGTAAGCTCATGAGGAAGGGGCTGTGTTTTGTTCCTCTGTACCAGGCATAGGGTCCTGCACACAGAGTCCTTCCCCAATGCCTGCAGGGTGAAGGCAAACTCCTTAGCCTGCCATTCTTGACTCTTCATGACCTGCCCTTTTCCAGTCTCTCCTGCCCCATCCCCAATATCCTCTGGGCTGCAGACATCCCCAACAACTTTCTCCTTCCCTGGTAAGGCTGCCAGATTTAGCAAATAAAAGTATAGATGATCAGTTGGATTTTTGATCTTGTATTTTATCTGGAAACCCTACATTACCTAGACACTCTGAGCTTTTGTAAACACTGTTGCCCTGTCTGAAATACCTTTTCTTCATCTGTCTGGAAGTTCCCTACTCATCGTTCAAAACTCAGCCCAAGTGCCACCTTTGCTGGGGAGACTTTCCCAGCCAGGAGTTGCGGGTCCACTGTCTCCTCTCCCACATATTGTTCTAATATATGTATAGCCTTCTTCTTTAAGAATGTGGGTTCTCTGAGGGCAGGGGCCTTGTCTTGTTCATCTCTGGACCCCCAGGCTTGGCACACAGCAGGTGCTCACTAACTATCGACTTAATGAACGAACATCAAACTATTCAAAATCTACACAACCTGGCATGCAGTACCAGGCATGGCCACTATGTGCCGCTGTCCAACATGGGATCTGCAGGGCTCGAAAAGGGGTTTGATTACAGACTGCGTGGGTGCCCACTTAAGAGATGTTAGAGGCTTTAAGTTCCAGATTATACAAAGGAGATGAGAGGTAACTGTTGATGCCTTGGGAAAGTCAGGCACCAACCTGAGCAAATCCCTTCTCTAAAGCCATGCACAAGACAGAGCATGGGATTGGAAAAGCTGTTTCAAATCTCAGTTCTTCCATTGTGACCTTGGGAAAGACTTTAATTCTGAGTCCCTGTTTTCTATTCCAGAAAATGGAACAATAAATGCCAACCTCTCAGTGCTGTTGTGAAGATAAAATTTGATCAAGTAGTGCCTGGCACATTGGAGATGCTCTAGAGACATCAATTCCCTCCTGTCTTTCTTCTCTCTGGAGTACTGTTCTCTGAACAGTGATTAAGCACCAATGGGTGATGGGAAAAAATTCAGTATGAAATTCACTTATCCTTACCTGGGAATTTAGGGCCACTGAGGCACTGGCACATGTTTTAAGCCCTCTGAGCCTTGGTTTTCTCTTCCCTAAAGTGGGATAACACCAGTAGGTTCCACATGGGGTGGTTGTAGAGATTCAATAAAAAAATACAGGTAAAGGGTTTAGCACAGTCTCAAGCACACATAAGGACTTAACAAGTGTTGGCTATCATCATCACTGTTATCATCAACACCATTACAGAGCAAGCCTTCACCAAGGTTCATTAAATGGATGAATGAATGCAAAAGTGAATGAATGAATGAACAAACCTCTCCCAGTAGATCCTGCTCCAGGTACACTGGGTGACAACCTGAATACAGACTGGACTTTCATAGTTCACCCCCCAACCCATCCTTGGCTCCCTCTGCCTGGAATGTCCTTCCCCTTCAACCCTGCTGAGTAGACATTTCTGTTGGAGAAACACTGAAATTGATGTGGCCTGCAAGGGCCCATCCACCACAGGCAGACTCAGGAATAACTCTTCTCCTTGGGGAGCCAAGGAGAGCATGAACCTGTGTGCTCTGGGGCAGCTGCCAAAGGAGGCCACCTCCCCCGGGGCGCCAGAGCCGATGGAAACGGCCAGCCCTGGGTCTGCAGTGAGGCTAACACCATTCATCAGCTGCATCCAGAAGCCTTCCGGCAAAGTGGTTGTCAGCTCTGGGCTCCGGGCAGGCTGGGAAATCCCAGTGGGGCTGGGGAAAGGCCAAACTGAAAGTCCATTCCAAAAGAGCCCTTTCTAAACAAGGAAAGGAGGAGTGGGAGAGATGGTGGGGGTGGGGCCTCCAAGGCCTGCAGGACTCAGTGTCTAACTTCCCTTCCTAGGAAGAAATCAATGGCAGGTGCCAGGAGGATTCCGAAGTGCTAGGTAAGAGCTGGCCATAGACTTGTCAGAAATAAATCTCATCATTCGCAGCCTGGCTGCTCCTCCCTGAGAGCGGGGTGACCCTGGAAGGTGGAGGTGATGGCTAGGATATAACAGCCTTGCCCGAGAGGTCAGCGACAGAAACCACTCTTGATTCTCCTCCTGCCCTCTGCCGGTGCCTCCTCTGACACATTCAGCATCTCCTCTTTCTTCCTCTCCTTATGTCGTGACGTTCTCCTGGATTCTGTCCTGCTGCTTCTCTTATCCCTCTGCATACACCCCTGGCTGTTCTTAGCTGCCCCCTCTGATCTCCCCCCAGCAGCACTAACACCTACATCTCAAAATGCAAACCTCCATCTGCTCCAGGAAAAGGCATCACTATTCCCTGGAAATCACCCTTCACTTTTCCCTGGTCCCCGGGCTTTAAAATATTGTCTGAATCTGTCAGCTTCTCACCATCTCTGCTGCCAAAATCCCTACTCCATGCCACCATCATTTCTTACTTGGTGTTCCATGAGAGCCGTGAACAGGGTCTCCCTGTGTCTCCAGGTCCCCCTTGCAGTCTACACACCACACAGCAAGCTACAGGGATCTTTAAAGCAATCTGAATCAGATCACATCATTCGAGAACCTTCTGATGGCTTCCCCTTACGCTTTAAATCAAATCCAGACTCCCGAGGCCTGGAAGACCCACCACAGCCCAGCCCTGTCTCCCTCCCCAACCTCCTCCCCTGCCGCTTGCCCCCGAATGCAGCCAGCACGTTCCTGCCCCAGGGCTTTTGAGCATGCTGTGCCTGCTGCTGGAACGCTTCTGCTCTCATATGTGTCTAGCTGGTGAACTCTTAGCATCTTTTTTTTTTTTTTGCGGCTGGCCAGTATGGGGATCTGAACCCTTGACCTTGGTGTTACAACACTGTGCTCTAACCAACTGAGCTAATTGGCCAGTGCCCCCCACCCCCCTTTTTTTTATAACTCCTAGTATCTTTCAAGGCTCAGCTCAATTGTCACTGAATGAAGTCTTCCCCTCACCTACTCCAGGATTGTGGGCCCCTCCTTGGTGCCCCGTGGGACCTTTGCTGGCCCTCCTGTGGCTAGTATCACACTGTGTCTCATGGCTGTGAGTGTCTGAGCCTCTTTTTCCCTGGAATATGAAGTCTCTGAGGCTTCCATGCTGTCTGATTACTCTCAGTATTCTTGGTACCCAGCTTAGGGCTGCACCCAAAGCTAGTGACACTGGAAGTTGAATGAGCCAGTGTCCATCTCTCCATTGGCCCACGCCAAGCTGCCCTGACTGCATGGTGGGACAGGCTGATGAAGTAGGGCCATCTCTCATCACGGCCACACCTCAGGCTACTGTGCTCTCAGCCCTGCTCCTCTCTTGCCGTTTGTGCCTAAAATTCTCCACGGCAGGGGCCTGGTCCTTTCTATCTCTTAATGGTCATCCCAGAAGCATCCCCGGGAAAAACTGGGAGGTAGGAGAGCGAGGCAAAGAGTAAGTGCTCAGGTCTGAACCCTTGCTCTGCCAATGTAGACTTTGGTGCTCTTGGACAAGTTACATAGTTTCTCTGTGCCTCAGTTTCCCCTCCCCTCCAATAGGGCGAAGAGTCCTGCTGTGAGGACCAATGAGATAATGGAGGTGTTGTGCTTAGCACATAGTGCGTGCTCATGAAATGTGAGCAGGTGGTGACCTTGGCCTCTGTAGAGCCTGCTGGTCCTGCCACCCCTGGCAGGGACCTGGGGAGGCTTGGGCAGTGGCAGAAAGTAGGGCAGAGCTACCTTCTGGTTGACATCTCCATCAGCCTCCCCAGGCTTGCCCGCTGTGGTAGGAAATGGGTCGCAGGCAGGACCCCACACCAGGATTCCTCATTTCCGCTCCTTGTCTTTAGGGACAAACACTTTCAGTTTCATTTAATCACAAAGCTTCTTAATTAGGTTTTTTTTTTTTTTTTTTTTGCCTTTGAGTTCTGAGCTGCTAAGCTGTCCCGGCTGGAGGGAGCAGAAATGCTGGCTCCTCAGGGCCTGGGAGCAGCTGGTCCGGCTAGCCAGGACGCCCGGCTCCTTCGATGCCCTCCAGGGGCTGGGCGAGGGGTGCAGCTGCTTTCTTCACCTCATCCATGGCTCAGGCTCTTGATGGTCACCTCCCCTAGTCAGCAAGCAAACATCTCCTGAGCACCGATTGTGTCCAGGTGCTGGAGACACAGCAGAGATAATGGCCAGGTCTCCACCCTTAAGGAACTTACTATCTACTCAAAGCGGAGGAAGTAAGTCTATCTCTACATCAGCCTAAGTACTCAATAACATTTAAAAGTTATAATTGTGAAAATGGGGAGTCTGGGCAGCAAGGGAGGGCTTCTGTAAGGAGGTGATGTTTTAAGCTGAGATTTGAAAGGATGTGTCAGAACTTTCCAGGTGGAGGTGAGGGGCAGGGAGTGGTCTAAATGGAAGAAATCCATCCATCCATCCATCCATCCATCCATCCATCCATCCATCCATCCATCCATCCATCCATCCATCCATCCATCCATCCATCCATCCATCCATCCATCCATCCATCCATCCATCCATCCATCCATCCATCCATCCATCCATCCATCCATCCATCCATCCATCCATCCATCCATCCCGGCATCCAGCCTCCCATTCAGTTCCCCCTTTCATCCACAGGCTCCATCACCCACCTGTCTCATTCATTCATACAATTCACTCATTGATTAGTCACAGCCTGCTGGGGGAGACATGAGAACCCACCGCCAACCTGTGGTACTTTAAGAGAGGGGCAGAGTCCATGGGAAGAAGACGTTCACTCCTGGCGGAGGTGACATTTTGGGGGGACCCTGAAGATTCTGACAGGCACAGAAGAGGAAAGGGCTAAAGGAAGAGTGTGGGCAGCAAGGTGGTGGGTGGGGGGACTGGAGACACGAAGACCCCAGGGTGTTCAGGGGCTTTCTGGTGAGTGCTTTGCAGTGGTTGGGGCACAGGCCACGGGGAAGGATGCATTCACTTATTCATTCAATCAACATTTATCAAGTGTCTTGTTGGTGCCAGGCCCAGGCTGCTGGGGGAGATGGTGGTGACTGGAAGAGATGTGGTCCCTGAGCTCTTGGAATGTGCTGCCTAGAGGAGGGGATGAGCCAGGAAGCGCACAACGGGTAGGCCAGCCGGGGAAGGCTGGGCAAGTGTTTGGTGAGCCCCGAGACTCACCAGCGTTTAGCTGACCCAGCAGCTGACAGAGCACAAGGGTGGGGCTGGGCCTCAGAAGGTGGGGCTCCAGCGGGACTGGCTGGACCCGTCTCCACCTCTTCCTCTCAGCCTCTAGGGAGAGCTTTTCCATCTGTTTCTGGTTCCCAGTGGGCTTCCCCTCAACTAAAAGACTTCCTATCAGTCATGTACACCTTAGTCTGAGCGGAAGCCCAGTGACACCTTTTCCAGGGGCGCTTGTAGCCTCTGTGGCTGTTTGGTGCCCCAGGAAGCAGGTAAGAGAAGCCATCAGTCAAAAGGGAGAGTTTCTCCTGGGGCCCCTGATGTCCAGTTTCTCCTGACCCCTGTCATGCAGGCCCCACATTCACGTGGCCTTCTACCGCGCTGTCCCCGCACACCGTGCAGCAGGCAGGGCAGAGCAGGAAGGAGACGTAGGCACACTCGCCTCCGCTGAGCGCCAGCTACTGTGCTGGGCGCTGCACCTGCCTTTTCCCCTTGACCCACAAGCCCCCACACCAGAGGTGGTCTCATCCACACTTGACACAAGCAGAAACCAAGGCTCAGAGGGAGAAAGACGCCTGCTCAAGGTCACAGGGCTGGTTAAGAGCCAATGGCTTCTCCTAGTCCAGTGCTCCTTCTACTATGCCAGTGGCTTCCAACCTTGGGTCCCTGAAGGGAGTAATAAGGGTGTGATCTACAAGCTCAAAGAGAAATCACCCTCTCCCCATACAAAGGGCACTCGGGCAAACGAAACAAATGTTTTCGCTGGAATCAGAGCAACACGGGCAGGAAGCTCCAGCTCTCTCGCCCTGTACAGATGCTGTCCTGAGCAGTTTCAAATCTTTGCTGAACAACAGGTGAATGATTATTACTCAAGTACAACTTTTTGGAAAACCAGTTTTTCATATCAGACCCACCAAAGTTAAGATAAAAGGGGGTCTTAGTGGGGAAGGGGCTGTGACTGTTGCATTTTACTGAGATCGCTGGCTGGATCCCCCAGACCAAAAAGTGAGATTCAGAGAAGTCAAGATACCAGCCCGAGTCTCACAGTCAGGAAGAGTGGAGCACGCTGGGGAGCCAGGGGGCCTGACCCCAAGGCTGGCACTCTTTTTGCTGCACCCACGTGTCTCGTCTTGCAGGAGGGTAGAAGCCCCAGGCCCCAGCCTGGGAGAGGGGCCTTGGGGATGTGGGCGGTGGGAAGAGCAGCCGGAGCATAGGTACCTTCTCATAGTACTGCAGCTCATAGTCCAGGATGACACCGTTGGGTTGGTCTGGCTGGGACCACGACAGGGTGATGCTGTCCACAGTGCGGCTCACCTGGTGCATGATGGACACGGCTGATGGAGCTGGAAGAGAGGCCAGAGCACAGGGGTCAGGATGGGCACAAGAGGATGTAGCTTCTGGACCAACCTCGGAGGCGCCTGGACAGATGGGGAGCTGTGGGACCGGAGAAGGAAGGCATCTGGCTGAGGCCACACAGCCAGCCTGGGGTGGCCAACAGGAGGCAGTTGGCTTGTGCAGGGCCATGGTGGTGCTGCTGCTGAGTTCCCACAGGGCACCTTCAGATTACAGACACCATCACCTTCGGCCATCCCTGAGGAAGCTCGAGCCACCCCAGTCAAGAAAGATGCACCGGGCCCCTCCTCTGGGCCTGGCCCCAAGAGGTTGGGCTCGATGTCCTTCCTTCTCTCTTGGAGCTTCCAGTCTACTGGACCAGGGGGTTCACAGACCCTAGGCATGGTGACAGGGGCCCTGGGAGATGGAAGCAGAGGGGACTGTGGGAGCAGAGAAGGTGGTGGAAGCAGAGGGGACTGTGGGAGCAGAGAAGGTGGGTGATCCATTTATTCCTTCAACAAATTTACACTGAGTACCTACAATGTGCCAGGGAATGCAGCGGTGAATAAAACTGTTTCCCCAAAATAAATATATAAAAATAAACTCACAGCTGCAGAAAACAGTCTGGCAGTTCCTTGAAAAATTAAACATAGAATTGCCACATGACCCAGCAATTCCACTCCTAAGTATATACCCCAAAGAACTGAAAACAGGTAGTTAAACAAGTACTCGTACACTAAATGCTTATAGCAGCGCTATTCACAACAGCCAAAAGGTGGAAACAACCCAAGGGTCCATCAACGGATGAACGGATAAACAAACTGTGGTGTACACGAACAACAGACTATTACTCAGCCATAAAATGGAATGAAGTATTGATACAGGCGAAAACGTGGATGAACCTCAGACACATGCTAAGTGGTCCAGGGTTCAATCTGTGTACTGGCCAGGCCACCCCCCCACCCCTGCAAACATGCTAAGTGAAAGATGGAAAAGGCCACTTATCATGTGATTCTATTTATGAAAACTATTCAGAATAGGTAAATCTGTAGAGACAGAAAGCAAATTGATGGTTGGCAGGAGCTGGGGGGAGAGGGGGCATGGGGGGTGTTGAGTACGGGGTTTTCTTTTGGGGTGATGAAAATGTTTCGGAAGTAGACAGAGGTGGTGGTTGCAGAATATTGTAAATATGCTAAATGCTACTGACTTGAACACATTGAATTATATGTTATGTGAATTTCACCCCCTCTGCTGTTAGTGCTCTCACCAAGGGAGGACAAGAGACAAGAAGTCAGGGGGGCTGTGTTTAGTGCTGGAGGGATTCTCAGACATTAGTCCGATTTCCTCATTTACAGAAACTGAGGTCCAGAGAGGGGCTGTGAGCTGCCTGAGATCCCACGGCAGGTTCTTGGCATGTAGTCCTTTCTCGATTCCTTATTTCATAAAGCTCCCCATCTGCTGTTCTATGCCTTTTTAGCAAATGGAACAAACAGGCACAAACACCTACTACATGGCATGTGTGTTTTCTGAGTGGACTGTCACTGAGGAGGCAGGATTAGCCCCACTGACAGGTGAAGACATTGAGCTCCAAGGGGCAAGAGGCTTCCTGAGATCACACAGTCAGTGGAGCACCTGGATTTGAACCCAGGTCTGCTGCTCTGCACAGCAGCGTTCGTCCCAGACTGGGACTGGCCAGGGATGGACTCCCAGCATGACTCATGCGAGCTTCCTGGTCTCACTGGGCCTGAGGTTTTCACAGTCCCAGGAGGGGCTAAGGACTCACCAGGATGAAGGGAGCATCTCCGCAATCTCTCCTGGTTCTGGGCTGATGTCCTGTCCCAGCCAACATAGGGATGCCTGAAAGCTGAGGCTGCCCCTTCTCCTCCCAACCCCAAATCTTGCTCATGTTGAGTGTGAGCATGGAGCAGGACGCTGGGAGCTCATGGGGACTTGAACATTGATGATTGGGTTGGCAGCAGATGACTCACCCGTATCCTGCTCTTTGTTTCTCTCCCCCCAGACTGTTCTCTCTGCCCTGCTGCTAATGTGGTGTGTGACCTTAGGCTGTGCCCCTCTCTGGACCTGGCTTCCTCTCTGAGGCCTTGTAACTCTGGGGCTCCCTGCCTGTCCTTCCTGTACAGCCTGGAGTTGGATCAGCCTGGGGGCCAGCATGGGCCTGAGCAGGTCCAGGATCCTGTCCAGCACCCCAGGGAGCCATGGAAAATTGTCCCAAGACACTCTAGATGGGGTGGCAGCACCCGCAAGAAGGACTTGGACCCTGGTATAGGCATCTCTGATGAGCCTCTGTTCCTTTCACACCTGAGGGAGGGCGGCCTGACCTTCAGCCTGGCTCCTTGCCTGCCAGGGGCAGCGGGCCTCTTGCGGTCAGGGCCAAGTACTCAGTGTGGTGCTTGGCATGTGGTCAGTGCCGTGAGCGTTCATGGGTGTCATTTGCTACTGTGCACTGAGCAGCTGACCTGCCATGCCTCATTTGGTCATTTCAACAATGTGGGATGGGGGTTAATAGCTGCACTTTGCAGAAGAGGAAATGGAGGCTCAGAATGGAACACTGACTTCTCCAAGGTCACACAGCTGGTAAGGAACTGAGCTGGCCTGGAGCTGAGTTATTCTGCACTGACTTTGCTCCCTGCTGGTCCTCAAAGCAGTCCCTACTTCCCATCCCCCTCATCCCTTGAACCCATCTCCAGCCCCAGTGCCATCCCTTCCTTGGGAGCCACCTTTGTGAGGAGTGTTCTGTTCTCCTCGACTGCCCAAGGCCAGCTCCTCTGTGTGGCCCGGGTCGTCTGTCTCTCTCACCAGTCAACTTCCCACTGAAAACAATGAAGAGTCCCTGCTGGAGTTTCACAGACCTGGGCCACCCGGGTGATCCTGACTGGGGCTCATCCTTCGTGTCCACCCGGGAAGGATCCCCCCAGTCCCCCCTCAGCTTCCCAGGCCCTCTCAGCCAACCCACAGGGCTGCGACCACTGAGGTCTTGGAGGTGGGGGGTTGGCAGGAGTGGGGGTGGGCTGGGGGGTGCTCCGAGAAGCCAAGGAGGATGCTTCAAACCCAGCCACCAGAGATTCCAGGAGCCATACCCGCTGCCCCTGCCTGCACGGGCCTGAGGATAATTCTGGTACGAGTGGCCAGGAGGGGTGATCTCCAGGGCTCTTTGGAATGCTGAATCCCTCGCCCAGAGGTCCAACCAAGCAAGGTGGGGAAGGGTCTGTGCAGGATGGGTGCGGGTGGGCTGCCACCCTGTGTTACATCAGTGGAGCGTTAGACGCTGAGCCCACAGGGATTGGAGAGGCACATTTTGATCAAGCCATCGCTACGTGCACTCTCTCACCTAGTGCCCCTGCTTAGATCTGCAAAGCACTCAGGCCAGGTCAGTCCCGTTCCCAGAAAGGCAGTCTAGCCTAATGGGGAGCCCCGAGGGTGGAGTCTAACTGACCTGCATGTACCTCCCCAATCCTCCACTCACTGTGTGACCCTGAGCAGGTTCTTTTAGCCTCTCTGAGCCTCATTTTCTACACTTGTCCAGTGGGAACGGTTCCCTTGGAAAGGATGCCGTGAGTGTGAAAGGGTAAATGCATGTAAAGGTTTGAATGTGGTGCTGGGCACCATCGGGGAGAGATATTATTAAGAACACTTTCACTCATGGAGTCCTATGATGCCACTATGATGCTGGGGCTCAAGAGAGGAACCTCACAGGGTCCCTGCCTGCCAGGAGTGCATGGTCTAGCAGGAGAAAGCATATTTTTTTCAGCTCAGTGAGTTCCAATTCCAGGCTGGGCTCCACGCTAAGCACTGGAGAAACTGTGAGGCTCAGAAGTGGTCTGGAGCTGCTGGGTCCAAGCCCCCATATCGGGAATCCGCCAAGGTGATCCAGTCCCGATTAAGGGCAGGGGCTGCTCTGCTCACATCTTTTGCTGCGATTTCACATCCCAAAGGCAAGTGGCAGAACGTGTCCCTATAGATTACTGCAATTTTCAAACTTGAGTGGGCATAACCAGGGTTTTTTGTTAAAACTCATGTTGCTGGGCCCCACCCCCTGGAGATTATGATCAACAGGTCTGGGTGGGGCTTGAGAATCTGCATATCTCACAAGCTCCCAGGTGACGCTGATGCTGCTAGTCTGTGGACCATGCTCTGAGGAGTAGTGGATTCAGGTCCAGAGAAAGGAAGTGGCTTGGCCAAGGTCACACAGCAGGTAGTGGTGGCCAGGACTAGAGGCCAGACCAGCTGAGTCCTGGTTGAGTATTATTTTCCATCCACCACGCGCTTCTCAGTCTGGTTCTGCCCAAGCCTGCCCCTCTCATGTGCCCAGGCTAACTTTTCCCGTGGGGCCCTCGAACTCAGAGTCCTAAAGCAGCGGTACAGGTAGTTCCGTGAGGTGGGGGCCCAGCCTAGGAGCTTGGCCTTGCCCTGAAGGCACTGGGGAGCCATGGAAGGACTGCAGTAGGGGTGGCAACCTGCACAACTAAAACAAGCTTGTTGTCATTCTGACAACCCCTGTGTGCCCCAGGATGCCCAGCCAAGGGGAAAGCCTATGCAGCTAACACCTTACCCAATACTTTACACTATTAACTCAGTTATGCTCATAGCATCCCTATGGGGCTGGTATTATTATACCCATTTTACAGGTGAGGAAATGGAGGCACAGAGGTGTGAAGAACTTGCCAAGGTCACATGGTTAATAAACAATGAAGCTGGGATTTGAACCCAGGACAACCTGGGTCCTACCTACCCTTTCCCCCTCATTGGCTGTGGCTGATGCAGGCTGACCAGGGGGGCCTGGAAGCCGGTGGACCTCAGAGGGCCTTTAAGGACAACCTGGTCTGGCTCCCATCCTGCTGCTGCCAAGAGAACTCCTCCCGGCTCCTGCTGACTCACTCGCCGCCCCCGGCCCGCCCCAGCTCTGGGAGCTCAGCTGCTGGTGGAGGCAGGTCCCATGCGGCCATGGGGGTCTGGGCCTGGCGGGCTTAGCCAGCAGGCTTGGGTTACAGGC